TCAAAAATTATCGGAACCTTTCATCAGCGAATATAGAGATAAGATAGATTGGGTTATAATTAATAATTAGATATCAGCTTATAATTAAGACACAATAACACGCCAAACAAATACTAATTCAAATATGTCAAACAACAAAAATCAGCGTTATATTTTCAAATTTTCACAGGACTAGTTTCAATGGTTTTACCGAGCCATCATAGTCAGCTGCAAAGGCGCAAATGAACGAGAGAAGATATAATGATTAGATAAGATAACAAAGCCTGGACAGGAGATAAGCTACTGGTGCCATCTGTTGATGAAACCAGAACTGAAACATAATTTCTTTAAAGGCTGAAGGCAGAGATGTATTAGAATTAGGGTCGTGAACTAGAAAGATTTTTTTTGAATGTAAAATGCTTCTAGCAAATCCTGTTCACCAATGGAAGGTCAAACAACAGTCAAACACCAATGGAAGGTGTTTTTTGAATAATTTTGGCAGCAGAAAAATTGAAAGTGTGATTTTTGGACCAACAATGTTGGGCAACAGAAGATGTCTATGTTTCCCTTTTGAAAAATTGAAAATATAACGCTGATTTTTGCTGTTTGACTTCTGAATTAATATCACCTTATATTATCAGAGCCATTTATGATTATGCACAAAAATGAAATCAGGTGGGACATAGTTTCTAGATACCAGAAATTATCTGAAAACCGTCTGCCCTGAAGATAAGGATAGTGCTGACAGACCAACTTCCAGTTCATTGCACGCCGTGTTGCCCCCCCCCCCCCCCCGCAGAGCAGTGTGAAATTGATAAACAGATTTCGCAATGGTTAGAGAAACAAAGGATATGCCAAAGGATTTTTTGCAGCAATTCCACTTTTTGTTTGATGAACATCGAAAAATGCTTTCGCTTTGTAGATCCTTTGGCAGCTCCAGAATCGGAAATTCTTTTTGACGTAATCGAAAGTTTAAGCTTACTTTTATAAAATTGTTTTAACAGTCTGCAAAAAATAATAAGCCGGACCCAATTAGAAGATTAAATAACAATGCAATCTGCAACATTAACTGAAATAGATAATTAGATAATTTTAGCTTAGCTTATACCATCCGTTATACATTAAACGCGCATGCGTAAACGTATTATGCGCATGCATGAAGGTTTTATGCATTTACGCAAGCTCAGAAAGTTTGTAGCTTTGAGGTCCGGATTATAGATCATTTCGGATTATGGATGTCCGGATTAAAGACTTTTGACTGTACATACATTTTTATCTCTGGAAAAACGACTCAAATGAAATTTCTGAAAGCATTTAAAACATCAATTATGCACTTTGAGAATATTTATTTTTTCAGTTACCCCTTTACAGCATTTAAGAATCATGGTGTTTCTGATAGAGGATGCATACTCGCTGTACTGTAGTGTTAAATACACTAGCCTTGGGTGTATTTCTGTTGTGTCTTTTATTTACAGTTTTCTGATTATAGTAATTAGAAAATGTTTTATTTTCACCGCAAGCCAATAAAGTACTTTCGTGACATTGACCTCCTTCTTTTAGAATAAAATTAATTTGGAAATGTCAACGTCACCTTCATTTTTTTTTTGTTTTTTTTTTTTTTTTTTTTTTTTTTTTTTTTTTTTTTTTTTTTTTTTTTTTTTTTTTTTTTTTTTTTTTTTTTTTTTTTTTTTTTTTTTTTTTTTTTTGTCTTTTTTTTTTTTTTTTTTTTTTTTTTTTTTTTTTTTTTTTTTTTTTTTTTTTTTTTTTTTTTTTTGTTTTTTATTCCTTTTGCCTGTTAAATTCTAAAATTAGGTCGTGGGGCAAGATTTTTTGCAAAATAGGCGTTAACAAGTGTTCGAAAGAGCCTGATGTAACATTTATTGCTTCTAAATTTCGAATACAGATATCAAGCTCATCATAAATTCTGTGTAAGTCTGAAACATTAAAAGAATTTTTTTTTTACTTTCCCCAAATTTAGCATTTTATTCATAAAGGAATTTATAATGATATAGCTTTTCCCGAACCTATCTTTCAGAATTTTTATGCAGTTGTCATAATTATTGTTAGATAATTCGAATCCTGAAACAACATTTGTAGCTTGACCAGTTAAAAAATTTTTATGATACGTGAAATTTTCAAATTTAGAAATGCTTTTGTTTTTATCAGTCATACATACTTTTGAAACTATTCTAAAAATTTTGCCAATGTTTCAGATCTCCGTAAAATTTTTCAGTTACTAACTTTCGCAATTTAACTAAACATTGACTTCTTAATTTTTTTTTTTATTTTTCACTTAAAGAGGCATTCATACTTTGATTATGCGAATCACTTGAAGCTGACTCAATCTTAGTTTTGTTTTCAAGGTAACGTACTATTCTACGTGAGTATTTTAAACATTTCGCTTGATATTCCTGATTCGCCGTAACCTTTTTTTTCCATTTGATCAACTGCAATGGAAGTTTCGATTTCACTGTTGAGAGCTTTCAATTCGTTATATCTTTCTATTAAGAGCTCGTAATCATTTCTTAAATCCTGCTCATCAGGCTCCTCTCCTGACATTAATTTAGCATCAGTTTAATTAATTAAGTGTGTTGTTAATTTTCAAACTGTTCTTCTTTTAGCTTTTGCTAGGTCTATTTTTGTAGTACAACAGAAATACATCCAAGGATCAAAATAAATACAAAATGAGAGCCTGCCTTCTATTTCCTCGTGGGCATGATTTAGTAATCCAAAACATGATGGTCTAATAGTCCCGGATTTCTTCTATCAACAATGCACCATGTTAAATATACCAATCCAATAAAGTTGTAACTATCAACACTGTCAATTTTGTTTCTTTCGGTGGTTCAGATTTGTATGTAATAGGTGATAAAAAGCTCAGTTTAAAAACACAACAAATAATTTATTTACAAGGTTACTGAAATATGAGCATAGTATTCTTTTGCCGCTAATTTTTAGGGCCGACCGCTCCCTTACACACATTTTAACTGATAGTTAAGCACATCTCATTACAGTTCAAATTCTAATCCTACACTGAAGGAAAGGGAAGGTACAGCCCCCTCTATAGGCGTTTCGCAACACTGGAGTCGAAAATCCGCCATTTTCTTTCAATTTGGATTTCATGTGATTTATGCTTGTTACAGAAACGCCAGTCAAATCAGCAGGAAAAGTAACAATATCGTTATCGGATTTATTAGGAAAATGCTTCCGTAATTTGACAAAAACATTCGTAATGATAATCTTAGTGGAACCACGCAGTGGTTTTCCAGCTTTATGAGGTTGAAAATTATTCACATATGTTGAAGATGATGCAGACGCCATGACAATGATGTATTTTTTTCTCCTCCTGATCAGTAAATGAATGAATGCTTTAATTGCTTTTCTCATCGAGAGTGGGGGTGAAGTCAGGGTTGCTGGAATTTGCAGTTTCACCAATAATGTGAAAAAAAAGGGGGGGATTTCTTCCAGCTAGTCATCGAACGATTGACACCATGTAGGAAATTTTTAACTAAGAAGCTGGATGCAGCATAATCTGTCATTTAACAAATTTTTCTCTTATGTTCTCATTGTTCATCTGTATTCATTTTTCACAGCGTAATTTTTACAGTATTACTTCTTGAAACGGTAGAACTGTATTCTTCGGGAGATACATACACTTTCTACTATATCCAGTGTTCTCAACTTAGGTTGACCTGTAGTATAGTAAAATACTAATGTATTTTACATCAAAATCATATTACATGTAGTTGAATAACTTGAATCATGCTTTATAAAGTGAATTTAAGTCAGTCGAGTTCTTTTGAAATGATACTGCAGTGCAGCACAAACCTCCTGCAAGCTCCTGGTTTTTCATATTTCAAGGTTGGCAACTATGATAATTCATCTCACTAGCTGGGTGTAAGTTAATTGGAACTTCATTTTTGCTCTTCTTCTCTGTTACACTAGCAAATGGAAACCAGTATGTGCAACACTCCACTCCAAACAAACACTAGCCTTTGGAGTTGACTTATTATATGCAGCCTATAGGAAAGATAGAAAACTGCTGCCCCACCCACGACCATTTGAGAGTTGAAAATATGGTTCATTAGCCAGCAGGTGTTTACACAGTGTATGATAATTCATTAGTATCATGGATAATGATGTTTTCTGCCTAAAGGGAGAGGCGGGGAAAACAGCTAATTGAAACAAAAATCAGTTTATGCACTTTCTTTTGCTTACGTATCATATTACCACACAATGTTTTAAGAAGGAAAAATTGTTTTCTGTTGGGAGATTCTGGATAATAGATGATTTTGGTTGTTTATTGGATGTACGAGTTTCAAACATTGTAGTGTATAAATGCATACCATCAGTTTGTGATAGTGAGTGCTTCACTAAAGGGGACTATTCCTGTTAAATTATTGTTATACCTACCCATGCTGTCATATTGTTGAAGTTAGAAAATTAGTTGTGTCTAGTTGTTAGTATAACTAGGATAATAAATTCTTTTCTGCAGGGAACAGAATATAATATTTTAAGGAAATTTAATTAAATACATAATTGGTAAGTAAGCTAAATATGTTTTTAATTTTTTCTGTGAAATATAATGAATTATGAACTTGCGACAGATTTTGAATTATATAGGTGCAACGTTATGGAAATTTATGGCATTCAAGTCAAAGAATTTGGACGATAGACTTGCTTATATTATCATTTTCTTAACCAAGTAAAATTCATTGCTGATTTATATGAAATCACTTTTTGATTTCAGTAATTCTTAATCTCAAATATGTTATTTTGACAGTTCATTTTAAGGCTCTTGATGAGGTGCTAAATATATTTTAGATTGATCCTGATATTCTGTGTTTTGCCATTTTTATTTATTTGATGTAATCTGCATTTTTATAATCTTTATCAATGAGATATGCATATATTAGAACATAAGTTTTTGAAATTTTATTGGAAATGTCAACATATAATAAAAACCGTGAATGTAATAGTTTACGTTACATAAGATGCTCTGATTATCTAAAATTTTACAGGAGAAACCAGCAGCTGTTGTGAAAAAAGCAAGCAATGTTCATAATACTATGAACAGAATAAATCAGAAAACTTTAAAGAAAACTCGAAAGATTTATGATTGATGGAGTAATTGTTGTTACCACTACAAGTAAAATAATATATGGAGATGAAGATAAACCCGTGAAAGAAGACCATATTCTCCGGTGAGTGCATGTAAATTAATACTGCTAATAAGTATTGATAACTAATATTACTGCTAATAATTATTGATAATTTTGTTTCTTGGAAGTGGTAACAAAACAACTTATGTTATCAATTAGTAAAAATATGTACATGTATAAAAGAATGTTTTGTTATTTATATGAATGATGTATTTATTTAAGATCCAAACTTCTTTTCAGCAATAAATTAATACTTTAGAATACATTCATAAGTCTCATAATAATACTTATTTATACTCATAATAATATTTATTTAAGATCCAAACTTCTTTTCAGCAATAAATTAATACTTTAGAATACATTCATAAGTCCATGATATGCTGGTAGATAAATATTTTATTTTGACATGTAAGCAAACATTTTCTGGTTATCCTGGGCAGGATATTGATCAGAAAAACACAAATGAATGCTAAAAGGGAAAATACACTGATGACGATTGTAACCATGTTTATGAAAGATGCCAATATTTCTGACCCATTTTCTTTAGGCATATCGGTTTCAGTTGAGGTAAAATCATGAAAAGAAAAAATTTTTATAAAAAAATATTTTCACAAGACTCTATGAATTAAGGTACAAAGTTGCCTTAAAGTTGGTTTGGTTTGGTTTATTTAATTGTTGCAAAGCACACTAGGGATATTTGCCTAAGGGGAGAGATGCCTTCCTGGAGAACTTTCTAAGGGAAACTGGCTCATATACACGTTACACATGGGGAAAACCATGAAAACGCCCATGCAACCAGCCCGTTCGTAGGATTTGAACCTCGGACCGAACTACCAGTGTTCAGCGACTTTAACCGCTCGACTGCTGGTGGGCCCGCCTTACAATTGGAAAGATTATAATTTGCCACTTCCCAGCAACAGAGATGTTGTGATAGAAAAACTTGAAGCTTCAACAAAAGAGCTAAATCCAAAAAATTTAATTGTTACCTATGATATCTTTAAACAGTTGATAGAGTTGGGAATAATAGATGATGCTACAGATAAAATCATGTTTCTGACCAGTACTTTCTTCCTCACTGATCTTTAATCAAGGAACATTGTACTACCAAAGAATGTCCCATGTTCGATACGTCTGCCATACAGATTAGATCTCCATCTTTGAACCAGTGTCTAATAGCTGGTCTCAATTTATTAAAACTCATTCCAAGTCTCCTTGTCAGATTTAGAGAATTTACACATGGTGTTACTGGAGATACTGAAAAGGCCTTTTTGAAAGTGAGCATTTGCCCAGAGGAATGAAATTATTTGACATTCTTCTGGTGGAATGAGAGTGACTGTAAATAAATTAAGGTAATGCAACACAACAAATTGATCGTTGGTGCAAAGAGCAGCCCTTTTCTTTTTGGAGCAGTTCTGGATTATCGTTTAGGAAGGTATTTGAATGCTGACTAATATAATCAAGATTATGTTAAGATTCATCATTCGAGTTTCTATGCTGATAATTTAGTAATAAGCTTAAACCCTTCATTGAGATGTCTGAAGTCATACTAAGTGAAGGAAAATTCAATTTGAGTGGTTGGCAGTACACTAATGATAATGATGATTCTCGGTGATTTACTTTTATGGGATAAAAAAAAAAAAAAAATATTTGCTGTTGGTTTGGGACACCGAAGTTGAAGCTAATACAGAAAAGGAATTTATGAGCTAGTTTTCAGAACTTCATTTGCTGAAGCAGGTGACTGTATCATAGTGTTTTTTGATTAATCCAAGCAGATAAAACATTTCTATGCATACATTTTGTGACGCTAGTCATTCAGCCTTTGCACCAGCTGTTTGTATTCATGTTGAAAACTCCAAGCATGTCCAGGTTAATCTCCTAGCAGCCAAAGCTAGAGTGGCTTCTGTATAACCTATGACTATTCCTTAATTGGAGCTGATGGTTGGTATGGTGGGAGCTCGATTGTACCTGTCTTTTGTAGAAAGACTTCAGTGGAAAGATGTTAAACAAAATTACTGGACCGATTTTGGTTTCTACGTAAAGAATCGTGGACGGTATTTGTAAACAACAGAGTGAATGAAATAAATAGTTTAACAGATGCTCTTGCATGGAAACAGCTTGCTGGAATCCAGAATCCAGCTGATTTGCCTTTGTGAGGATTGATGTTGGCTTTCACATAACATTGATTGTTGGATTTCACATATCATGTTGTGTAATTACTTCACCTTGGGTAGCTACAAAGCAAATCTGCCAGCAAGTGTAACAAAATAATTTTCCTGATTCAATTGGCATTACTGTTTATGCTTAGATTTAATTTTGTGTTAAAGAATAAATTTGTAATAAAATTCTAAGGAGAATGCAGATTACAAATCTATTCATTCTCGACAAGGATATTCTGCTAGGCAGTTGTTATCAAGTAAATGGTGGGAGAGACCTACTTAGTTATTAGAGAACCTTCATCTAACTTGCGGATCAAAAACAAAATTTTGATGAAGATTTAGCCTAGGAAAAGAGAGAAACAAAATTTGATAGACATTCTTCTATTTTATTATTTTTTTTTTTTTTTTAAAGTTATTCAAGTATTTGTAGCTGCAAAATTGATTGAAAGAAAAATAGTGAATGCAGGCATTACGGGCCAAGTTGGTAGTACAGTCAAAAGTCTTTAATCCGGACCTCAAAGCTACAAACTTTCTGTGCATAATACCTTTACGCATGCACATAATATGTTTACGCATGCGTGTTTAATGTATAGTGAAGCTAAAATTGTCTAATTATCTATTTCAGTAAATGTTGCAGATTGTGTTGTTCCTTAATCTTCGAATTGGACCCGGCTTATTATTTTTCGCAGACTGTTAGAGCAATTTTATAAAAGTAAGCTTGAACGTTCGATTATGTCAAAAAGAATTTTCGATTCTAGAGCTGCCAAAGGATCTACAAAGCGAAAGCATATTTTGATGTCCATCAAACAAAAAGTGGAATTGTTTCAAAAAATGGATAAAGGCATATCCTTTGTTTCTCAACCAGTTCCGAAGGTGATCTGTTTTTAACCATTCCGAAATCTGTTTATCAATTTCACGCTGCTTTGCAAGGGGGGGAAGTCATGGCATGCAATGAACTTTAAGTTGATCTGTCAGCTCTATCAGGGCAGATGTTTTTATTTTATTCGGCTTATAATTCCTTACTAAATGTAGTATTTCATCTCTATGTGCTCAGTCTTTGATATGATTTAAATCAAATTCCTAGTCATTTTAAATATCACGAATACACATCAAATAATTTTCTGGTCGCAATTTTCTTATTTCGACTATGCGTAATGTAGGCTTTTTGCATGCACGCGTTGAAAGAAATGTTTAATAAACAAATAAATATTAAGCTTTTTTATGTAAAATTTGATACACTTTAGATCATAATTTTAGATTTGATACCCTTTAGATCATAATTTTAGATTGATACCCTTTAGATAATAACCTCTTTATTTCATAAATTACGGTTTCATATTTTTAATTTTATAATTTCTGCATGCCATCTTACCAGATTTCAATTGATGATCTATAATCCGGAAAAACCGATGATCCGGAATCGCCGAAGTCCCGACGAGTCCGGATTAAAGACTTTTGACTGTATTATTATTTTTCAAGGTATAACATAATGATGCAGTTGATTGCTTGGATTAAAAGATTAATTTTAATTGTCTAAATGCCGTAATTAATTGTTGGAGAGTTAGCCTATGAAGTCAAAAATGCAGAAAAGTTGATCATATTTTATTGCCAAATGAATGTTTTTCTGATCAATTAGACAAAAGATTAGAATCTTTGAGAACACATAACGAAGAAGAAGGAATTATTATACCGAAAACAAAAACTTCATTTTGGAAGGGTACAGAGAACTTTTGATTTCCATTTGTTTTACCGGGAGATCATTCAGCCTGGATAGTTTAATTGTGATAGAACACCAGAACTTCCATGCTGGTTCTCAAGAAATGTAAAAACTTACTGTGTGTTTGGGTCTCGTCCCAAATAACACACACTAAATAAATTCGCTGGTTCAATTCTTTATTAATTCTCATAATTAATTACAATTAACTCATGGCTGTGACCAGCCCTCTTACACCGTCGATGGCGATTCTCAAACTGGTTAGATCATCACATTACAGATGCGCATGCGAGGATTACATTACAGATGCGCAGGCGCGAACATGCCGCCCCGCGTTGCAATGCTTAGCATTCAACTATTGTAATTAAGATATAGCATAAAAAAAATTAAACAAGTATATCATAAACAATTTTGAATAAGTACTATTACATAAAATCATTATTATAATTAGACATTTACCATATACATTAGCATACAACTCAGAGCAATACAATATAACATTTCACTTACATAATGACATTTTATGTGAAGCACATTCAATACTGTACAATAACTATAAAGACAATATTCATTTTTGTATTGGTAAGACACATAATTTGGTAATTGGTCGTTTGAAAGTTCCAGTTTGAGTTTTTACATTACACACGCGAACCTTTCCATCTTTACCATAAAATACTTCTATTATACGACCAACCGCCCTATTACAACAAGGCAAATTATCTTTAATTAAGACCATGTCTCAAACTTGTATATTGTTTTTAGAACTTTGCCATTTAGATCGATTTTGTAAATGACATAAATAATTGGAGTTCCATTTTTTCCAGGTAATTTGTATTAATCTTGTGATCTGTTGCCACAATTTTAACCTGTTAATGTTAACTTCCGGGATATCTGGCTCAAGGATCGAATTAATTGCTCTACCAATTAAAAATGCCCAGGTGTTAGAACCTCTAAATCATCAATGTCCGAAGACAAGGGTGTCAATGGTTGGGAATTTAAAATTCCTTCAATCTGAATCATAATTGTTAAAAATTGTTCAAATGTCAATTTTGCATTACCCATGACACGTTTGAAATGGTACTTAAAAGATTTAACTCCTGGCCTTCCCAAAGGCCTCCAAAATTGGGTGCTCTGGGAGGGAGAAATTTCCATTCGATATTCTCAGACTCAAA